GAAATTCTGTTTCTTTGTTACTAATGTTGTGGCCCCACCCTATAACAAAGAAACAGAATTTCTGGAGGATGAGGCCCAGAAATCAGGATTTTAAAAAGAGTCCCAGGTGATTCTAATGTGCAGCCAAGGTTGAGAACCACTGCTTTACAAGTTTGGATGTTTTTACGTTAGCAGGTGGAAGAGCTGTGGACTTGGGAGAGTGCAAGTTCACAACCAGATTTCCTCGCCTTGGGTCTCACTGCTGTAATTATTACCGGGGATAGGTTAGATGTTAGATGTGAACTATGACTTACCACCGGTACCCTCTAGTCATCAACTAGAAGCAAAATCAGCTACTTAATTTGTAGGGCCCAGGAAAAAGTGAGAATGAGGAGCCCCTTGTTAAAACACTAAGAATTTCAGGTCAGCAACAACAGGGCATTAAACAAAGCACAGAGCCCAGAGCAGCTGCACAGGCTAATCCAAGGCCCCAGAGCCAGCCCTGACTACAGGGACATAAACTTCACTGGAGGGAGGGCATATTAGCTCATGCAGAAGCATTTTCTTAGAATTGCTAACTGGAGAAAGAACAACATAGTCTTGCTGATAAAACCAATCCCAAGACATACAGGAACAGGACAGGAGTAATCTTCCCATTTCGCTCAATCTTCACCAGACTATTAAAGAACTCAGTCCAGTTCTGAATTCTACAGAGAGATGTGAAACATCTGAAACTAAACTGAGGATCAAATGATTAAAAGATTAGAAAGTCTAATCAAACTGGTATAACTTGGCTTCAAAAAGAAGGCTGATGTGAACTAAGTTTAAATCATTTCAAAAGGCTTATTATTAAAACTAGAGGCTCGGTGCACAAAAATTTGTGCACTGAGGGGGCGGTCCCTCAGCCCAGCCTGTGCCCTCTCACAGTCTGGGACCGCTCGGGGGATGACCACCTGCTGGCTTAGGCCCGCTCCCCAGGGGATTGGGCCTAAGCCGGCAATCAGACATCCCTCTGGCAGCCCAGCAGCCCTCGGGGGATGTCCACTTGCCAGCAGGGAGCAGACCTAAGCTGCAGTCAGACATCCTTAGCGCTGCTGAGGAGGCAGGAGAGGCT